CGTCTGAGGGGCTGCCGCTCGATAAGGATGGCAATATGCCCTTCTACCTTATTGATGCTTTCGAGAACCCGGACAGGCCTGGTGCGTTTGGTTTGCATAGGACTCGGGTTTTGGAGCCGGGCAGCGCCGCGAAGGCGGGGGCGTGGGCGCTGCAGGCCGGCAGACGGTTCGGCGCAGGCCAGAGGTCTTCCACGCCCCACGGCCGCCGCCTCATCGCCCGGCCTGCCGCATGCAAGGGAAGAAAAAGAGACACACCGCCCTCCTGCCCCGCCCTCGCGCCCCGCAGATGTGCTGTATCTGTTTGGTAAGGCCTGGTATCGCGGGAAGTGGTCCTCCTGCTGCACCCTGGTGCCAAACATGCACCGCAGGTGGGAGCAAAAACACCGCCGCCTGTGTGCACACACACGCACGTCTTTTTGCTTTCGCTCTGTCATACACACACACACACACACACACATGCAAGCGCGTGCGCGCGCCTGCAAAGCCTGCGCGTGACCAGGAGGGTCGCCTGCTTGTCATGTCGCACATTCACTGCTCGTCCGAATGTCATCGGCCGTGGAGAACGGGCGGGGCGTGCGCCAGCGTGGGACCAGGGCCGCTCGTCATTGCAACGCCGCCCCTGAAACGCCCTGAATCAGCAACCCCTGTGTGTCCATTCAACCTGCAGCCTGCTGGTCGTGCCGGCGCCCCACGTTTTCGCGGACCCATCCGGAGAGCTGGCAGCCCTCGAGGCTGCCGCCAAGGATGCCGCAGCCGCGGCCGCGGCGGCCCCGGCCAGCGCAGGGGCGGGCGCGGCCGAGGAGGGCGGGGGCGAGGGCGGCGAGCTGCAGGCGGCGGCGCAGGCGGCGCGGCTGGAGCTTCTCAAGGCGCTGCACGTGGGTGCCGGCCCGCAGCCGCTTGGGCTGTATCCCCTCCGTTTTTGCAACATGCGGTGCTGCCCTTCCGTGGTTGGCATCTTTGGAAAGCTGCTTAGGTTTGTGGGTCATGATACGGACAGCCTGGCAACCTCGGCGCAAGGGCGCATGCGTGGGCGCATGCACGCACACACACACACACACACACACACACACACACACACACACACACACCGCTCGCGCAGGCCCGCGCCGCCGACCTGAAGGCCGAGCTGCGCGCGCTGCTGCTGCGCCAGGGCGTGCGCAGCATGCGCGTCGTGCCTGTCAGGAGGAACTACGCCTTTGAGGACCCCAGTGTGCCGCATGGGGAGCAGTGGGTGCTGAAGGTGGGGGCTGCGTGGATGGGCGTGTGAGTGTGTGTGTGTGTGTTTGTGTGTATGGTGCGTGTGTATGAGTCTGTGTGTGCGTGCGGTTGTTTGGGTGTTTTTGTGTGTGCGTGCGCGCTGGTATGGGTGTGTGTGTGTGTGTGCGCGCGCGTGTGTGTGAGAAAAACCGATCCAGACAGAGCCAGAGAAAGTGAGTGTGGGGCGTTGAGGGGGCCAGCCATCCTGACTGCTGCGGGCCAGGCCCTCCGAGCCTGTGCCTGGCGCCGCGCCTGCCTGCGGCACTTGCTTGTGACCAGCCCCCTTCAATCGCCTCCCACCCCTGGCCATACCTGGTCCGTAACGCTTTTCCGCTTTAAACCCAAGTGACAACCCTGCCATGCACCCTCCGCACCACCAACACATACGCAAACACCACCACCACCACCACCCCTGACCCAATAGGTGCGCTACCCTGCGGCAGAGCCTACCCTGATGACGACGCTCAAGGGGGAGCACTTCAGGTGGGGTGCGCCCCTGGGGTCGGCCCCGCCGACGTTATACCGGCAGCTTCCTTGAAGCTTACGGCCTCATGCTTGTGTGGCGCAGGCTGCCACGTCTGGCGGACATATGTCCTTGCCCTACCCGGTCCATCAAGTCGATTTGGCGCGCGATCATGCTGCCGGTACCATAAGAAAGGAACCTGAACTGCGCCCCTGGCCGCGTGCATCATTATGACTGCGCGCGCGCGCACACACACACACACACACACACACACACACACACGCACGCACACACACACACGGTTCCATCGCGTGATAATCACATTCATGCTGCGCGCAGGGCTGTGTTCAACACGCGTCAGAGCCTGCTGGAGGCCCTCGTGCTCAAGCGGCGCGTCATGGGCCCGGGCTGGGTGCTGCTGCAGGCGCCGCGCATCAAGGAGGGCTCCGCCATGGTGGGGCCCCGCGCGGATTCTTGCGCCTGCTGCAGGCCCCGCCGCGGCGCCCACGTATGACACCGAGCGCGGCCGGCCGCCTCTTGACTTCGAGTTCTATTTCTCGCCGCCTGGCATGCTGCACGGCTGCCAAGCAAGTGGCAGTTGATTCCGCGGTATCTATCGCATGCACGTGGCCTGTCGCTTGCGTTCACACACACACACACACACACACACACACACACACACACACACACACACACACACTCCCCCCCCCCC